TGGCCTGTGTTTCGTCAGGTCTATTGCATCATCCTCTTCGCGCTCTTCGACTTCAGTCTCTTGCCCAAATTCGCAAGGCAACACAAATACCACATTGCAGTTGATGTTGAGTGAAGATCCCCCTTCTGATTCGAAATTGTCAGTCAGCATATCCTCATCCTCCTCTGGACCTGGCGTATATTCCTTTGATTCATTTTGCTTTGTTTCAAAGAAAAGTCTCCTTCTAACCGGAGGTTGGTCCCCAGCTTGATTGTTTGGTGCATGTTTGTTGGTACTTGATTCCTCTTTATCTTTGTTCGAAGCTACGCCTTTGTTTAACATAGCTTCTCTCTCAGCTTTTCGAATTCTTTGTTTCCTTCGCCATTGTGACCTGGACATAGGGTTCTTTCCCTTATAGTTTTCCAACCTTAGTTCTTCTCTTTTCGCCATATTGAACTGTCTTCTGTACGTCATGGCATGGCGTGTATTCCGTTCATTATTCCTCCACTTGTCTCTCCCATTGTCAGCTCTAACTTGTAGCCACTTGTCCGTTGGTGCATCAGTAGGAACCTTAAATGTTACCCTTCGAGCGCCTCCATAATAAGGGTTGTCAGGCCTTCGTTGGGTGTAGTTGTTCTCGAAACGTTGGCCCATTTGACCAGTTTCTCTGTGGTTCCAACATGGGGCGAAAGGGGCTGTTTCGAAGGTTTCAGCCACTTTCTGATCATATACTGCAAAACATCTTGGACACACTAAGCATTTGGTTGCCCCCTTGTGACAACGAACTAAAAACCCCATAAGACTTTCTCCAGCCTTAGGGTAGCATCTGAACAACTGGTTATCCAGGCGCCAGTTGACGCCTGTTCGTGCCCTTTGTCTTTTTTCAAAGTCTGCAGCAATTCTCTGATTACAAATGATGCTACATCTGGGGCATAACATCATTGCAGCATCCTCTTTGTGGCATAGCATAAGGTAATCTTTGAGACTGGCATCCCTAGCGTAACTGTCTTCCATCTTGTATTTTTCTTTCTCTAAGTACCTTTCCATTTCTTCCATTTCAGAACAAGGTTGCTCCATATTTACCATGTTAACATCCACGTCTTCTCCTTTTATATAAGCATCTCCCCATCCTGTAGGTTTGATGTCTTCAATTCAGGTCTTTGAGCTTTCTGGGGTGGAATACTTCACCATGTAATCGAACTTCCCGCTGGGTTCCCCCAAAGTATCCCATATTTCCTTCTGAGGAAGAACTGGCAATGTGATTTGTACTTTCTCCAACTTTTGCCTCAAGCCTTCAGTAGCCTGTGTCAAATTTTGTTTCTGGTTTTCCTGGCCTTCAGTAGCCTGGATCTCTTTCGAAGCAATCAAAGGAACTGCTTCGATCGAAGCCTCTTGTTCCTTATGGAAGTCCTCAGTAACTTCCTTTTCGACTTCCACTAACATGCAGTTCTTATCTTCAGTGTTTTCCTTATCTGATGGAGCGTCACCTTCATCTACTCCAACCATGTTTATCTCTCCAATGTATGCAGGTTCAGAGTAGTTGGTGTCAGCAACATCTAAAGGGTCATCATCCACCTTCATCTTTGGCTTGTCAGCGAACCTTAGTCTACCATCATTGATTGCATTCTGAATCAGATCCCTGAAAAGAAAACATTGTGAGGTTTTGTGGCCTAAGAAACTGTGATACTTACAAAATCCTCTTTTCCTTCTTTGATCTAAAGGTGGTAATTTGACATTTGATGGCACTATTAGTTGGCCATCTTTGACAAGCAAATAAAAAATTTCATCACATTTCGTTACGTCGAAGGTATAAACCTTCTTTGGGAACTTGTCACTTTTCTCATTTTCAATAATTTCTTTCCCTTTTGTGGGAACTAGTAATTTACAGGAATAAGGGGGAGCCTGTTTCAATTCAGCGAGATCAATTTCGACCTCTTCGAATTCAGGGTAATCTTCTGCTTCCTCAGTTATGACATAGGAGACCCTTTCTTTCTTGTTATTTTTAAAAACCCTGGCCTTCTCGTCTTTTAGTCTTTCGACTTGTCGAACCCTGTCTGCTAGTTGGGCCATATCCCTCAAGTGTTGTGTATCTAATTTCTTTCGAATGGAGTAGTCTAGGCCACCAACAGCCATTTCGACTAACTCATGTTCAGGAACTACTGTGAAACATCTAGACTTCAAGAGTCTGAACCTATTCAGATAATCATCTATGGGTTCAGTAAACTTCCTCTTGACACTGGCTAACTCTTTCAGGCTTATTTTAGATTGTCCCATGTAGAATTGTTCATGAAATAACCTCTCCAAAAGAGTCCAAGTATCTATGGACCCAGGAGGCAAAGTGGTGAACCATGTGAAAGTGTTCTTAGTTAGGGAACTTGGGAAATATTTAATCCTAAGGTCTTCATTATTTGCTATATCTCCTGCTTCGGTTAGATACCTGGCTATGTGTTCGACTGTTGACTCATTGGTGTCTCCAGCGAACTTTGTAAATTTAGGGACTCTATATCCCCTTGGTAAATCAGTATGCATCACATAATCTATTATGGGAGAGGAATAGTTTGGCCTTCTAATACCTGTATTGAGACCGTTTTGAGCCATAATCCTTTCTATCATGGTGGTTAAATTATTTTCTGCCAAGATGTTGTCATTTCGAATTCTATGAACGACTTCATCAGCATCTTGGTGTCGACCCACCATGACAACTCCTCTAGGTTGTTCTTCTCGAAACTCTGGGACTTATAACCTTTCGACCCTTGCCCCTGGTTCTATAACTCCCCTTTGTGGTTCTCGAATCACTGGGGCTTCTAACCTTTTTGCCCTTGCCCCCAAGTTAACCCCCTCTCTGGTTGGTCTATAGGGTGGGTCATCAGCAATTTGTTCTATGATGGGTATGTTCGCTCGAACCCCCGCCTGATTCTGCCTACGCCTTTCTGGCGGAGCGAAAAAATCTGCTATTCGACTCATGTTGTCCGTGTTTTCTCTGTTGGTTACAGTTACATTCTGTACTATTGGGGCAAAGATTTCTTGCATAGTCTGCGCTAACACTCCTATCATATTATGGTTACTATCATCCATTAATTGTCTAAAGGCCATCTGATTTTCTGTGGTTAAGATAGGCAATGTATTGTGACCCACTGAACCTTGGGTATTTGTCATAAATTGGTTGGCCCCAGATCCGGATCCAAATTGTGGTGACGAATTTGATGTGGAATTGTGTAAACCTGCCATAAAAGATGTTGGCATCCCATAAGAGGGATTTCTGTGTCTGTTGTCATCGAAACCGGGTGGTCTAGTTAATGGGGTGGCGAAATGGGTTTGTGTCCCTGATGGTGGGACAAATCCCGCAAGATAACCAGTGGTCCCTGTATTTCCTAGGGTCGAACCGTTGGTTGTCATGCCACTTGCTCCATTTGTGGCCACACTACTGGTAGAAGATGCAACAGACTGTGCGTTCGTAGGGATCGCGTTAGACGTCCCTGTCGAAACAGACGTGTTGGTGCCTGTTCCCTGTGAGGCAATTTGTTCCCCTTGTTGATTTCCTGGATTAGACATCCTACTACTATGTTTTCTTCTGGGTAAGGGTTGGTTACTATTAATTGTTCTACCACTTCTAAGGTTCATATAACAACGAAATCGATATCCAGAAAAGAACTTACGCAACAAGATTATATCCTAAAAAATCTTTACTTTCAACTTTCTTAACAACGTGTCCCACCGGGTGTGCCAATTTGTTCACAGTGATTTCTGGTGAACAACCACTAGTCTTCCAAACTATCAAATAAACTTAATTACTGTTATTCAATCTCTCTGGTAACTTACAGGATCGACTAGATTGATCCTATGGAACATATTTGTTTGGCTAAGTCTAATTGTAAAACTGACATTTGTATTTAGGATTTCGAATTAGAGTTGTTCCAAAGATATCCAATCCGCTTCGATTACTATACTGAATGGTTCGAAGGATAAATTCTATATGGTATTAGGAATATTCATGAGAAAAGTTTAAAGACTTGAAATTGGATAAATGGCAGGATTAAATGGGTGGATGTAAAAGTTACTAAATGTTTAGAGGTTTCGACCATAAGAAAAGTATTTAAATGCAGAAAGGAATAAATGACTTCGAGTACAAAGGCTTTAATGTAAAGGCATAAACATAAAATTTCTTGAAACACAAATGAAACGGAAGTGAAAGATAAAATTGGAAAATGTAAAGAGTTTTCATTGAATTGCAAATGCTGGTGTTATCATACGTACATCTTTCGAGCATTCGTTTCCCTATCCATGCGGTATTTTGAATGTTTATTGAATTTGTACAACAGATATCACCCCTAAATCCTAACAATAAGACTTCTATTTATACTATTCGACCATAACGGTCTTGCTATCAGAATCTGCCATGTTCGAAGCATGCAGAGCATTGCTTCCCTCTAGCCTCCACGCGTCTTCGAACACTCTTATGCTTGTATATTTGAATTTTCAATATCCCGCTCACGTTTGAATTTCAAATGTTTTGGAACTTTTCGTTTCGAGTTTGTTCATAGGTTATTTCCAAAAATGACCTTCACAAATATACTCTTATGATTATTTCGAACAAGGCTTTAGACTCACACTCCACAACTTATCATTCGAAACCTTGAACTATAATATTTCCATTCGAAACAAACATTCTCTTCCATTCCAAATCATCAAATTTGCTTTATTCAAACAAAGCTCAACCATAGTGGTTTCATTTCGAATCACAGTATCAAAATCTTCAGCCAACAAACGGCCGGTTCGAACAACGAATCTATGGCTGTCTGGGTAGACGATTGCAAAATATACCACTTATCCTTAAAATCTCGCACATAATCCATATACATCCTAAACAGTCTCTTCGACTGCTTAAGGGACACCCAACTGTTCTTCCCTCCTCGGGACTACCGTTGTAAGTGAAAAACCCTGAAGAACAGGGGAATCGTTGCCCCAATCCTTAGGAAGTGACAGGTGAGTTCGAATGCCCGGAGAAAGGCAATCGCATTAGGATGTATTTGGGAGGGGTCCAGGTTCAAATGGTTGAACACTCTGACCTGGAAGTCATTGAAGGGAAACTGGAGCCCGAGATCTCTAAATACGATCTCGTACATGGGAAATGCATCATGTGTGAACTCCGAACAGATACGGACATCCCTCGTCGGCCTCATAATCTTGAAGTTCCTTCGAAATCCCTCTTCACCGCTGCCATACTCGACGACAACGTAAGCTTGTCTACTGGAAAGGTTGTAGATCGAAGCTATTCCCCGAGGCTCAGCACCGACCCAATCCAGAGTGGGGTCATCGACGGTGTCGACCAGGGTGATAGTTTCCTCCGTTGTGCTTGTTTCCTCGTCATTGTTACGCCATGAGGACTCAAGAATGTTGGCCATTTACCTGCAAAGTACAGGAAACCAGTGAATTCGACAGTGACCCACTTTTCTGCCACAAAGACAGGGAGAAGTGAGCAACACTCAGACCGAGTCTACGGCCATTCGCACGAAAAAGGGAAACAAGTGGACCTCTACCAAACACCAACCTCAACGGCGGACGTGTATCAATCATGAACGACGCGAGAATAGCATGAATATCACAAGCGAAGGATGAATCCTGTGACCAAGTTCATAATGTTGCTGACCCGATACAAGAATACTATGGGGAAAACTAGCCTACATACTAACGAAAGGATGAATCTCCTGACCAGGTTCATAAATATACTAGCCAAACGCATGAGTATCGCGGGCACGATCGTAAACCGTATGCCTAAACTCATGAATATCTCAGGCACAACCATGAATCAGGCGTCTAGCACGCTTAAATTTATCGGGCACTATCCCCAGACACGAGATTCTACAACTAAAATGCTATCAAATCTACCTACAACACGGGATATCAAAGGGAGAAAACACTTACTTGAGAGAAGAATGAAGAACGACGGTGGTGGATATGATCAGACGGCTAACAGCGCGGCGGTCTCAGCGACGCTAGGAAAATTCACGAGATTGAAAACAGAGAAAATATGAGAAGCGGGAAGAGGTGAAAACAAACTATGGGCCCTGGAACCCTATTTATAGAGATGACGTGGAATATGAAACGTCGTGCCGGGGAACCACCAATCGCCCCCATCCTCGACGTCTACTCGCATAGACAATGATGACCCTATTCCCTAGGGCGGCATTGTGGTTTCCAAGAGCCGCACCACGTGTCTAACTGGCGCGTCACCACCTCCCCACGGGGAAAATCACAAACCGAGCGATGTCTCTTCTCCTCGGTTGAAAGCCCCTGCGTCGCGCAAGCGAGTCTCATGAAAGAGCGAACTTGAATCGAGTCATAACTCCCGTACCAGGAGCAACGACTTGGGGGGCTCATGTTCAGGACTGGGCCTGCCCGTGGCCCAATCATCAATGAAGCCCAATCCAAGCTTTCCAACATATCGTGTTGAGAAGTGTATCCTCCGAGCACACTCGATCATGGGTGACTGGGCGAATACGACCGCGCCCGCCGGTGCCCGCGAAGAACGTCCCCGACCAGGAACGTCCCAGACGAGGAACATCCCAATCCAAGCCCTGCTCGAGTACTCTCCTCGTAGGGCAAACTTTCAACTTCTTCGGATGTCTCGGAGTCCTCAGGGTCCCAGGAAGATCGCGTCTTTACCCTCCCGATTCTGCGGAGAGCATCATCCAAGTAGGGGACCACGTGCAGTTCCCCACTATCCATGTAGAACCTGACAGTCACTACAACATTTGTTGTCTCTGGCAACACTTTTTTAGGTAACATGTAGAAATTGTTGCCTTAAATTCATATAGGCAACGATTTACGATTGTTGTCAAAAATATGTTTGCAACCCTTGATAATCGTCGCCTAAAATACTTTTGGGGACGTTTATGGAGCGATACTCTTTTATTTTTTTGCCAACGGTTGTTAATTGTGCCCTTAACTGCTTTTGGGGACGATTTTAGAGCGTTAAAATATTATTTCTTTAGCAATGTTTGACAATTGTCCCCTAAAATATTTTTGGGGACATTTTTAGATTGTTACATTAGTTCTAATAAAAGGCTACATTTATGAAATGTTGTATAAATTTTTTTAGAATTATCAAATTTTTGGTGGCAATCTTCCCTCCAAAACTTATACACTAAAAAACAAATATTTTTCTCTAAACATTATTAATATATATAAAAAAATATTTTTCTAACACAGGAATTTAAAAATAAAAAATTTCAATTAAACAGAAAATAAAAAATTATATATATATATATATATATATATATATATATATATATATATATATATATATATATATATATATATATATATATATATATATATATATATATATATATATATATATATATATATATATATATATTAGTCTAAAACTTATATATATTTCAATTAAACAGGAATTTTTCTAACACATTATTAATATTTCTCTAAAACTTATATATATATATATATTAAAAAAAAATTCATTAAACAGAAAATAAAAAATTTTCTAACACAGGAATTTAAAATATTTTTCATTACTAGTCCTCTCAATTATTGCCACGTCTTATTAAAAAGAATAGAAAAAAAAAAAAAAAAAAGAAACAGATAAGGAAAACAAAAGCAGCAGCTTTCCATTCTCCTTCTTTTTCGTTCACACATTTCGCTGAACCTAGCCGCGCTCTCAGACGCTCCGTCCTTCATCCGCTCCGAGTCAAACCTCTTTCGTTCACACCCTCCGCCGTGTTCTTCGTCACTCCGTCCAACTGCCACGCCGTGTTCGTCGTCCACGTCGTCGTCCGTTCGTCGTTCTCCGTCCAACTGCTTTCGTCCACGTCGTCCGCCGTCCACGTCGTCCAAGTCGTCCGCTGTGTTTGTATGTATTTCTGCATTCATATTTCGATCTCCATTCCGTATCGTTGTGTATGAGTTGAATCTGAGTGTTTTGATGGTTGTTTGAGTTTGAGTTTCTGAAATTTAAATTGCTGCTTTACTAAATCTTTTTACATGCTCTATGATGACATTGATGTCCTTTTGAATGAACTTGCACAAATATAATGCATTCTACATTCCCCTGATAACATCATTTATTTACTTGCTTCAGAAACTGGAAGATTGCAATAGTTTCATCTAGTCCACTTATCTTCTTAGGATTTTTTCGTCTTGTTACAACAACTGGTGTGGATTATCAGGTGGGATTATTTTCATTGAGATTCTTAGAAACTGTGTCAACAAACATTTTGACACGCATTTAATAATACTGCATCTTATTTAGCTAGCTTATACAAGCATAATCACCGACATCTTTTTGAAAATTTTGATGTTATATGATGTAGTTCTCAAAGACTATAATAAACCCCTATGATTTGTAAACCTATAGACTCTGATGCCGAGCATGATTGGGTGAGTGAGGCTTTTTTTGGCAGAAACGATTCACAGAGTTGAAACTCTGAAATTTCATCTTGACACTGTACTATGCAGAACAATTCACAAGCTTTAGACATAGAAGCTATAAGAGTTTAGACTATGAAATTTGAGAAATGCTCGAGTAATTAGCACTCAGCAGGCTTAGATTTGTTAAAGCAGTCAAATGGATATTTTTATATTTATTTTCATAGAATTTAATTTCTAAAAATCAAGTCCATTTCACTTCAAAAGAATCTATAAATTGGAAAAAAGTAAATATAGAAAAGATTATTCATTTTTATTTGACATGGAAAAAGCTTCTAATCCTCCCATAATGTTATCAAGCTTGTGCTTAAAGCTTTGATGAAAGTATAGGATATTAGGATCTGTTAGTGCAGGTAATTTTGTTGAAGTAGTAAAACTTTTGGTTTCTTATAATAAGGAGGTAGATGAAATTGTCTCGGAAAAGCCACTTAGAGTGCAAGATATACTTCTCCAACCAATTAGATTTTATTTTTAATGTGCAAAATTAAATTTTGAGAAGAGATTTATAATTCAAAATTTTATTCAATTGTCAGTGCAACTCATGTGACCCCACTTAGTGGGATAAAACTTTGTTGTTGTTGTTGTTGTCAGTGCAGTTCATAATTATTATAAAAGGAACAAATCGTTCTAATTATTATATTTGTTAATAAGAATTGTTAAGAGTCTGAATTAGGCCCAACCTAAGTTTTAAAAAGAATGGTTATGTCAAAGTATTCAAAATTGTCCTTATGCATATTATGTACATTATTTGACTCATCAACGACAACGCGCTCTTGCATAAGTAGTATTAGTAGTTAATGTTCATATGTTTTCTCTCAAAACTTGAACATGGTTTTTAATGTTGTGTGTTCTTGTTAAGTGAATGATGAGTAACTACTTACTTATGCAATTGAAAAATTGTGGGTTTGGTTTCAAATGATGAGATTAAGATTATAAGGGGAGCTAATCAAATTGCCACCTTATAGATACTAGTGTCCGGAGATATTGAGATAGAGTTCTCAACTCATTATGTAGATTTAAGTTTTAACGCATGCATAATGAAACACTTCAGTTCTTGGAAGGTTTATGTTTTTCAAGTGTTAAAACATATGAATAATAAAAAAGAGAGGCCATGCTGAGGTTTTTTCTAGAAAGATAAATGGTTACTTGTGGGATAGTTAGTGCCTCGTGATCAAGAGTCTCATTTAACATCTAAGATTGTTTGCGTTTTAATTGCATAATTCAGTAATTCAAGTAATTCTTAGGAAGCCATGAATATGCTTTCCATCTCATTCTTTACAAATTGAGTTATAATTGTCTAATTCATGATGTTTTCAAGGAAGCAAGTAACCATTTTCCTTCTAATAGGTCCATACGAGTGAATATGGTGTGCATTGGAATTTTTTCTTCACGCTTGCTGCAATCTCAATTCTTACATCCTTTATTAATATCCCCCCAAAATATTCTGGAGTTTTTGGATCACTTGTCCTAGTAGGTACTTTTTTTCTCTTCTTTCTGTCTCAACCTAATGTCATGTATTTTGAAATCTGATTCCTTATAAAATTCAATCTATGTTTCAAAGGTTACCAGTTCAGTTTGATGCATGGTTTAAACCATTACTTGCTTTCTAGTGAAAGAGGAATGGATATCATAAGTCAAAACAAGGAGGGGATTTTTAGCATATTTGGTAAGAATTACACATTGCATTGTTCAATCATGATGTGATTTCACTTCTGATACATAATACTTATTACGAATATCGAGTTACGTCTACAGGATATTGGGGTATGTACCTTATTGGCGTTCATTTAGGAAACTATCTTATCTTTGGAACCCATTCCTCTGCGCTTAAAAGTAGCAGATGGGTTCGGACGAGAGTTTGGGTTCTAGCAATCCTGTTTTGGTAAAAACTTAAATTTAAAAACTCAACAAGAAAGAATTCAAAAGGTTGATCACAATTTGAGCCTCTTCTTGGGAATATTGGCTAGGAACTCAACATTTTGTCCTCTACGTTACACCAATTGGTCAGGAATGCCAAATGATAATAAAAACCGTTTCTGGAGATATACTAATGTATGTTTTTATCTATGAATTTGAAAGTCTAATTATTAAAAAAAAGTGTTTCATTTCTTGATCTCGTCTTATCTTATAATTTATGTAGCGGAAGTTTATCTTGCCGGTTGAAGCACGAGATTGGATTGAGACCACTGTTAGAGAGGCATGGAGAAGATATAAGCACAAAATTAAGAAGAATCATTTTTTGAAGTATTCCAACATGACCGAGAGACTCAAAAGACTCAAAAATCATCCGCCAAATGTGCCAATAGCCCAGTTTAAGAGTCTTTGTGCTTATTGGAGTAAGGAAACTATACAAGTAAGATTAATAATTTTTTTATGTATGTGTGTGAATTTACACCTTTCTATGTATGCCATAATTAAGTAATATTTATTATAATAATTCTGTCAAATTTAAATGTAGGCAATCAGTGAAAATAACACTAGAAATAGAGCTCAACTAAAGTGGATGCATCGAATGGGTCCCAAAAACTTTGCTTTGACTCGTGAAAAAGTGATAACTTTCTTTTGTTCTCAATAAATTATTCCTTGTATGAATGTTTCTTTTAAGGGACGAGTTTCAAGATAAGATTGATAGATTGCAAAATGCTTTTAAGACCGTAATACAACAATGCAATCCTCAAATTAATATAGAGTCAATTGAATATTTGTTAGGATTATCTCATGGAGATGCTAATAGTTCCCCAAAGGATATAAGACCGCAAATGCATTCATCTACATCAACTCATGCTCCATGTCATGGAAAGGTAACCATATATACCAATATTATTGATTTATATTTTTCTAATTATGTTATAGTATCAAAATGGTTGTTAATGTATGCAAAAATTTGCAAGTAGTGACAACACCTAGAATAAAGTAAGTGGTTGAAATTGTTTAAGTAGTGACAACACCTAGTGGCTGAAACTGTTTTATTTGTACGAGCTTTCATTGATATTTCACAAACATACTTGCCTGGGATAAGATTATGGGACCCCCTTGTTTGATAACACTCACTATGTATGCTGTAAATTTATCCATATGATACTGAACACCAAAGAAGATACAACAAGTAAGAGTGTTCATCAGAGTTCATTTACTCCAAAAAATAAACATAAAAGGATAGCACAAGTTATACATACATACATACATACAGTTAAAGGCTATTGTAAGTCCTGAATAGTGAGCCAAAAACAGAATGGTTTTCATAATTGATTTATTTGCTAGTAAGCTCATGTCACCTATTACAGTTTAGAACGAAAATTCACATCCATTAAAAACCTTCATAATTAATTCACATCCATGAGATGTGAAGAATATAAACAACGTGTTTTGCTCATTGGTTTAGTTTTTATTTGTGCGAGGTTTAATTTTTGTTGATGTCTTAATTGTCCTTTGGACCAAAAATACTTATGGTTAATGTGTTTTATTTTATTTTCTTATGTAGCAATGTATCAATGAAGATGTTGAAAAGGACGATATAAATGATAAAATTCAAGAGGACGACATAAATGATAAAATTCAAGAGGACGACCTAAATGATAAAATTCAAGAGGACGACGTAGATGATGAATTTCAAGAGGACGACATAGATCTAGATGATGAATTTCAAGAGGAGGATATAGATGGTGAATTTCAAGAGGACGACGTAGATGAAGAATTTATGGAGGATGACATATCTAACGAATTTCAAGAGGACGATCTGGATGCTTTACTCCTAGAAGACAAACTTGAATGAGTTGGATGATGTCTTTTTTTTGGCTTGTAGTTGAAAGCATTAAACTTGAAATATGATTTTTGTTCTTTTGCTGAACTATGTTTTTAGTTATTTTACTAGGGTCATACTTCAAAGTATTAAAAGTAATATTGTTACGTTAGGCATTTTGTGTACTCTATATACTATATCTTGAATTAAAGTTTGAACTCGATTTTATTATATTACAACTTTTATGGATGTATGGTTTAAGTTATATAATCAATATTATTTTTGAAGCCAATTATTATTGACTATATTATTTTGATAATAATTGCAAAATTGTATATTTTATGTGGACACTATAAAACAACAACCTATAAGCTATGGCTACACTTCAAAAACGATCTTCCTGATTCAGGTTTAAGGCAACGATTGTTAATTGTAGCCGAATTTGGCAACGCAACGCTTAAAAACGTTGTCTCAGAGGCCGTAAATAATCGTCCCCTATTCCTTTACTATATGCGACGTTTTTCAAAAGCGTTCCCAAAAAATATAAAAAAAACGTCGCCTCAAACAATAGGCAACGCTCGCACAGGAGATGCCTAAAAAACGTCCCCTATTGTTTTAGGCAACGATTTTCAGAGTTCTGGCAACGTTTTTCAATTGTTGCTGGAGAGCCTAAATGTTGTAGTGAGTCCCTTTGTTGGGCCTGTTTGGTCAGTCCAATAAAGGGACCTTGGCCCAGCGCTGGGGGCTATAAGTATCCTCTATTTCAAGAGGGTCAGATATTCATTCATTCTCACTTATATACTTACTTGTCTGCTCATTCCGTCTCTCACTTTGTCATCGGAGTGTCTTGTCGGTACCCCCAATTTCCTTCAAAGCCAATTCAAAGCCAACTGTGACGGTCCAATTCTGATCAGGTACGATCAATACCCAAACAAAACTTTCATTTGTTTGCACCACTTGTCATAGTTCTTGAAATCAAGAATTGGAAGATTGGTGGAGATTGGATCATTGGAAACGAAAGACATGTTAGCAGCAGATTAATGGACCAGAACCAGAGTTCTTGATGTCAAATGTTAAAATATACACAAAACTAAGTTGGTGAATTAACAGTGAAAAGTGGTTAATTGGAGAAAATGTTGTTTAGAGAGAGTTTTGGAGATTAGACAAAGAGAGTAATTGAGGAGAAAATATCACAAATGACATTATTTAATCACACATTACAAGAGGGTATTTATAAGATACACATAAACCAAGTTAGGAACCAAAATTGTCCAGCAAAACAACAAAAAACACCAAATGTCGTGCTGGAAACCAATTTCCTGAAATAGGGAAACCAGTTTCCTCAATAGAAAACAAAACAGGAAAACTAAAATTTCGTGACAGAAACCCGTTTCTTCAAACTGAGAAACTGATTTCTTCTTCGAAATACAAAAATCTCTAGCTTTTTAAAAGTGTTTTTCAAATAAACTATTTTACACGAAATGAATCCAGAAACTTCTGAAATACATTTGAATTAATTCCAACTTCGAATAAATATATCTTATAACTTTAAAACACAGTTGTAAAATAAGTTACAACAATTTTTGAAGATGGTTTTACATTTGTGGATCATTACTACACTCCACCTTAATTTAATATGTGCTTTTTATGAGTAGATAACGATTTGAGTTTTATAATATTAGTTGAGATAAAGTTTCATGTATGGCCAATATTAATTCTTAAGTTGAATACAACTATCTAGTGCGAGAGAGGTAGAAAAGAATGGCCACTGAGGTGAGGGTCTTAGCTTTTTCTATGGCGGTAAGATACTATTGATTAGTAGCCATTACAATAATGCGACTTGAAAGAGCCAAATTGGAAAATCCAGCCTTTGGAGATTCTAAAGGTCTTCTTTATTAAGATATAATCTTCAGCACAATCTCATGTGCATGTTTAAGATTAAGTTGGTATTAAAATATTCGCAAAAAGAACGAATGAGATATAGGATCCATTACTATAGTTTATAGGAAAATATTAGCACATGAGGATAAGAGCAGTTTCATGGAAAACATTTCCAGCTAATTAATTACTTTTTCTTCACTATATAATATAATACATCACATTAAACGACTCAAACTCAAACAAACCCCTCACACATATTCCTTTCTCTTTCTTGTTACAACACATATTCTCTCAACTTTTCAATGGATCCATCCCATATAGTTGCTTATGCAAACTTGAGTTGTGAAATAAGAATAATACAAGCTCGAAACGTCGAATTCATCAAGTCCACTAAAAACTTGTTTGCTAGGTTGTATGTTCCAACAGGAAACAACAAAAGAATTCAACTCAACACCAAAAATGTTTCGGACAAATCTTTTAATCTAGATTGTTCTTGCCCACAAGAATTCTTGGAAAACCTTAATGAACAAAGCCTAGTGTTGGAGCTAAGGCAGAGGAAGATGTGGGGGTCACAACTTATTGGAAAAGGTGAGATTCCATGGAAGGTGATACTCGAATCACAAAACATGGAGTTAAAAGAATGGTTGAAAATGGATTTGGCGAGTGGAAGTGATTGCAAAGAGGTTATGTTGTCAACACCAGAAGTGGAAGTAGAGATTAAAGTAAAAGTGTCGTCAGTTGCTAAGATGGAGAAGCAAAATAACAAGAGGTGTAATAATTGGAATGAGTGTGGATGTAAAAATGGGCATGATCATAATGCTTGGTGCAATGCAGAAGACTGTGATATGTTTGCGCTTGGTGCAGCTTTGGAAGCTTTTTGATTTTGATGCAAGATTATGCTATGAACATATAAACTAACATCAACTAATTCACGTATCATTGTATTGAATAGATTTTCTTTTGACAAAATTATAAGAGATTGATTCTATTTGAACTCCCAAATGCATTATATTTTAGTTTTATATATTGGAGTTCTTTTACTTAGTTTATGGTTTCTCTTCGAAGCAACATTTTGTCATAGCTAAAATCTGCTTTTTTTTTTTAACATGAAGATTTATTGTCTGTAAAATAAATGAAGTAAGGTTGAATAAAACTATTAAGAAATGACAGATATAACACAATTTTATATATGATCAAGTTGTGTTAACAGTGATATTACTAGAAAATTTGTTATAGTGACCAAATTAAAGACCGAAAAAATTTAAGAATCGGTCACCAAATTGTTTAGCGACCGATTTATCAACCACTGCTTTTCAGTAGAAAAGTGTTAGCCGTTAAGTTTTAACAACAAATTTAATGATTAAAATTTAACGGCTAAATTTGTGACTAAATTTTTGTGACCGATTTTTTATAAAATAAAATTAAAAGTTATCACATTTAAAAATCAAACTCATGACCTTCAAGAATTTTTATATGACATTAATACTACACCATTTATAAGACATTAAAGATTATAACAAAAGTTTTTAAATGGTGCAGTGATAATGTCTTATAAAAATTCTTGAAGGTCATAAGTTTGATTCTTAAGTGTGATAACTTTTAATTTTATTTTATAAAAAATCGGTCACAAAATTTAGTATATATATATATATAATTTTTTAAATAATTTTTAGAAAATCACTATATCAAATATGATTTTAGTATGCAATATAAAAATTGTATAACGAAAATAAAACTCATTTTAATGCAAAATATGAATATAAAATGATATTATTTTTTTCATAAATATATGTCTTATTTATTAAAAAATACAAAGATGAAACTTTTCCTAAAAAATTAAAAACTGAAAGAAAATTAAAATATTTTAAAGAAATTTGAAGGGAGATGGTAACATAATAAAGATAATTAAAAAATAGAATAAAAAAAACAAAAAATATTAGTGATCGAGATTTCGGTCTTTGATTTTTTATATAAATAAATTTTATATAAAAAATGTTTTTACAAGACCAAATATGCGGTCACAAAATTTTGGTCACTAAATCGATGGCTAATTTATTTTAGTGACTGATTTAGCAATCTCTTAAAGTTGACTCATGAATATCAAAGCTTTGGTGGCTAATTCAGTCTCTGTAGTGATCGAATATTTTGGGTCAATAAATCAGTCACGAAAAGCATATTTTTAATAGTGTGAACTAATCTAACCCATTGAGTTTGCTAATCAAGTTGGGCAATGATCCATTTTTCTTTTCCTCTAAGAGGTCTTTTATAAGCACATCTAATTAGGGTTTTGTGTTGTCTTGAATCACACGCTTGTGGATATTTGTGAATTCTATCCTAAAGCAATCAACATAATTCCTTCAAATTCTTCCATTTCATACCAATAGAGTCAGGTACAATCAGCATGTGGGAGACAAAGTGTCTTGTGGCAGGCTAGTGGTTTAGACATTCATGCAACGATATATTGCATTTGTCCTTTGCAGTCACATGGCATTATATTTGGTGTACTATAGTACATGTGTAGAGTTTTGTCCTCTAGCGCAGCTGGCAGTGTAACATTGGCAAAGAGTACAAGGACCTGGGTTCGATCCCAAGTCCAGACAATTTCCTTTATTTTCTTTTCTACTCATTGATTCAGCGCAGCGTTCCTCTTGTTGACCACCATGCACTAGTAACTTGTGACCATTGGATGGAAGGATGATCAAATCCAACGCCTAGATAGCAAGAAACCACAATGCTCCTCAAGTCAACGCCCACACCTGATCCAACGCATTGACTGGGCTTGGAGCATTTGGGCCAAGGAATTCAGATTCATACCCCCCTCTCCAGCCAACAACACAGGCCTAATTCTCAACTTCTTTTTATTTTTATTTTATCTTTTAATTTGTTTAATTATTTTATTTTTAAAATCAGTTTTAATTAAATCATAAAAATAAAAATAAAGTCAAAAAAATTAGATTTAGTTGTTTTCTTATTAAATTTAATTTTGTTAATTAATTAGATTAATATTTAAATTTGGGTAATTTTAATTTGTTTTTCACAATTAAAATTAAATTAGAAAATTAGGTTAACTCTTGATTTAATTTTTCTCTTTTTCTCAAATAAAACAAAAATACAAAAATAGGTTGTTTAGAATTAATTTATTTATTTTCAAAAATTAATATAAATTAGGACTGAGGTATTTCTTTTAATTTAATTCTCCATTATTTTCTCAAATAACAAAACATGACAAAAAAACACTTTTTTCTTTAATCAATCGCAAGTAGGATTAGTCAAAGGGTCAAAATCCTAATCGCCTCGCATTTAACTTACCGCGCGCATTTAATTCTTTTATTATTTTTGTAACTGTTTTGAGGATGTAATAGTTTTAATTAGGGTTTTTAAATTTCCGCAACTTTATTTAGTGTCAACGACAATTATGTAACTGTCAAAGCCATGTAATAAGCGTAGGTTATTTTTTTCGCTTTTACTTTCCGCAAAACTCTTAACTGTTAGATGTATGTTTAGGATTGTATGGCAAGAATGCATGACACAATTAAAATGGTTAGAAAACCCTAATGTGCAAAGATAATAAACTGAAAATAAATCACTCGCATATATTCACTCTTAGGGTATACTTTCACTTCGGTTGCCTTCGGTAAACGATCATTAAGCATAGGGTGTCTTAGTGGTTGCCCTCCCGTCTAAAGAGATCAAATTGTCCCGTTCAAATGTTGCCTCAGAAATGTTTCCTCAAAAAGATCTTAAGACTCTAGGGTTACTACTAAGGTGTCCTAATATTGCTTTAGTAACCGTACGTCCCTTTCGAATTGACCCTTACAAATTCCAACGACAGTGCAACCTAGTTCTCAATAGTAGGATAGCGCTGTCTAAAGGAAACAAGAATAGAAACAATCTTTTTTCGAGTGGGTAGATGCTAGTAGGTACTTGCTCAAATAAAAACTTTTCACACTTACACTTTTCAAACAAATGTTCAAAACAACTTCATCACACCCTTGAGGACTGATACAAGGGTTATCACGAAGTAAAACATTTTTCAAAAAAACAAGCACACAAACACAAGAAATTTAAAAATGAGCAAGTACCTAAGAGCCCATGGAAAACCATGGATAGAAAGGGTGCTAACACCTTCCCTTTCTATAATCTACCCCCCGTACTCAAAATCTCGAAAAAGGATTTTTTCTGTACTTTTTTCCTTTCCGGTTGGATGAAATAAAAGTCGGTGGTGACTCTTGCTTACCGCGACATTTTGCGAATAAAAAAATGCAAAACGCAAACTAGTATTAAACAGTCGGTTCTGCCACAGTATCACAACCTCCTAGAGGCAAATTTTATTTCTGAAGCCCGGTATTCAACCTGGCTGTCAAATGTTGTACTTGTCAAGAAAAATAATGGAAAATGGCGAATGTGCGTTGATTATACCGATCTTAATCGGGCATGCCCGAAAGATGCATTTCCTTTGCCTAATATTGATATGTTGGTCGACAACTCGACCGGTAATAAAATACTATTGTTTATGGATGCCTATTCGGGCTATAACCAAATCCCAATAGCAACAAGCGACAAGCATTGCACCGCTTTCATGACCATCTCGGGAAACTATTACTACAACGTAATTCCCTTTGGTCTGAAAAATGCAGGAGCAACGTATCAACGGATGATGAACAAAGTCTTCCGAAACCAAATCGTGGATATGCTCGAGGTATACATGGACAACATGATCGTCAAGTCCCGAGCAGACACCGACCATGCCGCTCATCTCAGGGAAGTCTTTGCTCAAGCGAGGCAATGCAAAATGAGATTTAACCCCGAGAAGTGCACGTTTTGGGTCAAGGCAGGCAAATTCCTCGACTTCTACCTGACAGAACGAGGAATCGAAGCCAACCCCGACAAATGTCAGGCTTTCTCCGACCTCCCCACACCTACATCGAAGAAATCCATACAAGTCCTGAATGGCATGCTCACCTCGTTATCCCGTTTCATTGCAAAATCCGCTCAACAGGCCCTCTCTTTCTTCAAGCTTCTTCGCAAAGAAGCGGCCTTCGAATGGACCGGGGAATGCGAGAAGGCGCTACTCCATCTTAAAAAAAGTCTATCTCAGCCTCCCGTGTTATCCTGACCAGTCGACGGGGAATCTTTGTTCCTGTACTGGTCGTCTCAGTCGAAGCCGTCAGCGCAGCCCTCATTCACGAGACGCCCGACGGACAAAAACCCATCTATTTCACGAGCAAAGCGCTTCAAGGGCTCGAGGTTAGATACCAACAGATAGAGAAGGTAGCTCTGGCCCTCGTCAACGCAGTGAGAAGGCTCATACAGTATTTCCTCGCGCACACGATCGTAGTACGAACAGATCATCCCGTGAAACAACTCCTGGGTCGCCCAGACATGGCGGGTCGAATGCTGAAGTGGTCCTTGGAACTCTCTGAGTTCAACATCCAGTACGAGAGCAGGAAAGCCTTAAAGGTACAAGCTTTGGCCGATTTTGTCGCGGAGATGACCGCTCACACCCCCCCCCCCCCCCCCCCCCCGCCGCAGGAAAAGAGCACAAGTGGATCATCTTCGTCGACGGAGCGTCCAACTCGTCCGGAAGTGGCGCCGAAATCCTCCTAGAGAACGAGGAAGGTGTGGTGGTCGAGCATTCGCTCACCCTCTCCTTCCCGACCTCAAACAACCAAGCGAAATACGAAGCCCTGTT